GATTTTCATGTCATACGCGGTCTTCCTGGAAGTGTTGACATTCTGATTTGTTGCAATGAAATTCGCAATTTCGGAATCGTCACAGTAGGTTGGCGGAACAGGTATTTCATCCCCCTTTAGAGGCACAGGCACAATATCAAAAAAGTCATCTTTGAATAGATCATTAAGATCGAACAAACTGTTGTCATTATCAACAAAGGTGGGTGGGGGTAACATGGCCGAAACTGTCTCCGGAATTCGTTGCGTTCGATAGCGAGGTACCTGTTTCATGGAACCATCATCCAGTTTAACGTTGAACATGCTGTATGTCCCTAAAGGTTGAACAACCGATAGCACCCGTCCCTTCAGCTGACCATCAATTTTGACACAATCGTTTACTTTTATAGCTTCGGTTGCCATTGTGATAGGATTATTCACTTGGCGATAGATTCATCGTCTGCTATATGTACTTTAATTTTCATGTCGTTTATTATTTCTAAGTTATGAATATTTTCTCATCCATATATTTAGAACATATTATTTTTTCGATTTCATGATAATTCATCTGAAGAAAAAGTATTTGTAGTCACGCCCTGGTGAGAATCGGTACATTTTGACAGTAGCCATTTTGTTTGGTCATGTGATGTATCATGTGGCCGGCCAAAAATAGTTCCGCGTGCACGTGATGTTATTAAACAATGTGTAATACCGCTGTATGTTTATTAAACGGGTGATCTCTTCACGGATGAGTAATAAAGCTGTATATCCCAGCTCCTCACAGCGATGCCTCGTTCCCGGCGCTACCTTGTATTCAAATAGCGAAAGGAAGCTCCTGCACAGCGCTAGCGTAGACTGTTTCCCGCATCCTTCGCTTGGTGTCGCTGCTCTCCCATCCAGGATAGACTGGCACCTAACCTGGTTACAGGCTCCTTATGCGCATCGTCAAGGTTAAATTGTGATATGAGAGACGGGGCCCAGCTTTGACTGGTACCCTGTCCTTTGCCTCATTGAGGCGGCACAAGTAATGCGACAAAGAGCGCAAGCGCACTAGGGGATACAAACCCGTCTAGGAGAAGGCCTACTGTCACCAGCTGGTTAGACTGGGTACCGCGTTGGGTCGCTGCTCTCGGTTCTCGGTTGGGCGAGTCATGTCAACTTTCCAAAAGTAGCATATTTGCAGTAAAAGTTGTGACTATTGGTACAATTATTGCGTGCCGTGCATACCGTGCTTTATTTGTTTCTTTGTCTGAGAAAGGAGTATGTGGATGAGTAATATTTGGAATATTGTAATTTTTAAAAGATAACTTGTCACCCTCTTTACAGCGCCTTATGCTAAAACAATTCAGCAGGCTAAAGGTTAAATCATTCCTAACTGTACATTGGTACACTGAACATGTTTTTGTTAGTCGGGCACTATGATGAAAGGGGGATAAACTCTATGATATGAGTAATGAGTTAAATAGATTTAAACCTTTTTTTCTAAGAAACCATATATTTGCCTCAAACATGTAAAGTAATATGCGTACATATGAAATGTATAAATCAGTAAGAAAATATTTTTTTCAGGCTCAGTTATCAAGGGGACCAAGTTGTTGTCATGGTGACAGGCGTGAATGTTGACCTGTTTTCCGTGTAGCGAGGTGTGAACACTTTTCTACTGAGTTTTTACAGCGTGAATAGTTGACGTGTCAGGGCAAAGGAGTAAACGTACAGTACGCTTAGCATAAGGGAGGTAACTCTGCTAGAGAAACTTTTTTCATGATTGTATGAAAACTACACACTCACAACGTTTCACAGCGAGTTTCGTTATCTCACCAACATCGCATCAATGTTAGTATACACACTTAACTATTCGTTCTCAAATTCAACCCGACATTAAATAGTTACATAGTGATGATTACAGACAAGCATAAATCCGCCGACACTTACTTACTGTGTTGTATCATGGGGATATGCGTGGACGGGATCCCCACCCTGTCAAGACAAGTTTCAATTGGAAAAACCACGGACTTGTTATACAGGTCCGTGGAAAAACACAGTGCTAAATTTAGCTGTATATCCCAGCTCCTCACAGCGATGCCTCGTTCCCGGCGCTACCTTGTATTCACATAGCGAAAGGAAGCTCTTGCACAGCACTAGCGTAGGCTGTTTCTCGCATCCTTCGCTTGTTGTCGCTGCTCTCCCATCCAAGAGAAGCATTCGACACCACTCGCCCCTTTCCGTAACCTACACTATACATGAGAATAACACTAGTTGGTCGCGAATGATATTGTGAAATGAGAAACGTGTCCCAGCTTAGACTGGTACCCTGTCCTTCGCCCTCAAGCGGCGAGGAGCGCAAGCGTACATAGGGCAGGCAAACAAGTCTAAGAGAAGGACTGCTGTCACTCACTATTTAGACTGGTTTCCGGATCCTCCACGTTGGGTTGGTGCCCTCCTTTCTAAGATTGTGTTTGTTTGTTATTTAATGCTGCACTCAGTAATATTCCCGCTATATGACGGCGGTCTGTAAGTAATCGACTCTGGACCAGACAATCCAGTGATTTATATCATGAACATCGATCCATGCAATTGGGATCGATGACATGCATCAACCAAGTCAGCGAGCCTGACCACCCGATCCCGTTAGTCGCCTCTTACGACAAGCATAGTCGCCTTTAACGGCAAGCATGGGTTGCACACAAAACTGAATGTTGTCCAAATATTGATCTGTTTATAAACAAATTGAATAGATTTGATGATTCAAACAATTTCAAGGCATGAAAAGGACGAGTAAATATTCAACTGGCAATACTTTACCAAATTACGAAACGGGAATCGTTTGAACTCTGCTTTGTATAGCTTATGTCAAATAATGGTTTTGGGCCCGAATTCAGTGGGTGTACGGAATACCTGATTGTACTATTCTCGTGATTGCAATTAGGAACTTACTTATAAATATGACCATCTGGTCAAAAATCAAGACATTAATAAATGGTCTAATTCTTCGTGTGTAATTGTTGGCGTTATTTTCACAAATTTCCATTGATTGTGCATTTTTCCAAGTGAACATTTAAGTACTGAGCGTTGTTCCTTATCTAATAATATTTTTGATTGAATAGTCAACCCTGGTATTGGGCGATTTGACAAAAAGACTATTCAACCTCTAATATTTAATGTTGGAGGTATCCGTTTAACAGTTCTATTATTGTATACATACAACGTGTTTATGTGCCTCGTGAGAAAATGTTGCCCTGAAAATACATGAATGCTTACCCGATGAGAAGGTACAGACCACTACTGTGCATTCTGTGTCTGTCTGTCTGTCTATCTGTCTGTCTGTCTATCTGTCTGTCTGTCTGTCTGTTTGCGCGCGGATCAAGATTAAGGCTGGTTTGACAGTGCTAGCCCATTGAAATACCATGTCACAGTTAAACATGAATACCCCACTCACAATGTACTGCCTCCGAGACAACCGGTCCTTATTTTATTCTCTTTAATGACAAGCACCAGGCAGGGTAACAACAAGTACCATATTTTAACGTCTTCAGGCATCACACGGCAGGTAATCAAACAACCGACGTTTCACTAAAAGGCAGGCGCTCTACCACTACACCCCAACAGAGGACGAAGGCACAGAGCATAAAATGTGTCTCAGGAGAACATATCATGTGTCTCATCCGGTATGGCGTGGGAGGCCTTGGGAGGTCTTGGGAGGACAACGTGTTGAAATACCAAGGGCAAATAGCAGTAACCCTGGGCGGGAAATGTTGAACCAGAGTTCGCAGCCAAAGTCCCTGGTATCGGTTACGTTTAGATGACGTGACGTGAGGTGAGGTAAAATGGAATTTAACGTCGCGTCCAAGAATATTGCACTTATATAGCGACGTGCTTGCACGTGTGTGTGGCTGCTTGTACTTGTCCGGACTGATGCCGATTTCTAGTGCTAGCCCACTGAGATACCATGCTGCATGTTTACATGAATACTCCACTCAGACACAGTATACTGAATCCGTGCCGACCAGTTCATCATTTAGCCCCTTAATGCCGAGTGCCAGACAGGGTAACAACATGTACCATCTCTTAACGTCTTTGGTATGACGCGGCCTGGGATCTAATCCCGGACCTCCGCTCACCAGGTGGACGCTCTACCATTAGACCATGGAGGCAGTCCAGATAACGTAAGACGACTCTCTGGAATCCTGTGAACAGGGTTAGAATCTCAGTTTGACAATGAGTATGGTTCCAGACCCGAGTTCGTGGCATTCACCTGCGTTACATCCCGTCTCTCCGACATTCATCTGACACACCGTGATATATCCAAGATACAGCCAACAACTCTCTCTCTCTCTCACTCACACACACACACACACACACACACACACACACACCACACACACACACACACACACATTCACGGCTGGCACTACTTTCATACCAAGTAAAATGTGTAACAAACGTTTGTATACATTAATAAACTGGTTTATTTTCAGATTGATTGCATCATACAATACATTTTTTACAGAATGTACACATCCAAAATTCAAAACATGCATTTACATAAATTGTCGTTTTACTTGAGGTGAAAGTTCTCTGTACCTACATGCACCTCAACACAGCTATATAATACTAAACAACGTATCCTCTGCCTTGGAACATTTATAAATCGCTATTCTACATGTATTGTTGCACGAAGCAATCACCCGACAATGCAACATAAACAGTTTTACACATACTTCCTAATTACATGAGTTTAAGTTCATGAAATATTGAAAATGAAAAGCAAAAAATCAATATACTCTAAGCCTACATGTTTCATAGATCCGCATGTCGCCGCCATATTGTTTCTGTCAAGTGAACAGTTTCTGCAGCATGCTGTGTGTCAGGGCATTGCTGCTGGGCGGAGCTGCGATTAGTGGAACGTGTAGCTACCAATGTCAGTTTCTGCAGCATGCTGTGTGTCAGGGCATTGTTGCTGGGCGGAGCTGCGATTAGTGAAACGTGTAGCTACCAATGTCAGTTTCTGCAGCATGCTGTGTGTCAGGGCATTGTTGCTGGGCGGTGCTGCGATTAGTGGAACGTGTAGCTACCAATGTCAGTTTCTGCAGCATGCTGTGTGTCAGGGCATTGTTGCTGGGCGGTGCTGCGATTAGTGGAACGTGTAGCTACCGATGACAGTTTCTGCAGCATGCTGTGTGTCAGGGCATTGCTGCTGGGCGGAGCTGCGATTAGTGGAACGTGTAGCTACCAATGTCAGTTTCTGCAGCATGCTGTGTGTCAGGGCATTGCTGCTGGGCGGTGCTGCGATTAGAGGAACGTGTAGCTACCAATGTCAGTTTGTGCAGCATGCTGTGTGTCAGGGCATTGCTGCTGGGCGGAGCTGCGATTAGTGAAACGTGTAGCTACCAATGTCAGTTTCTGCAGCATGCTGTGTGTCAGGGCATTGCTGCTGGGCGGTGCTGTGATTAGAGGAACGTGTTGCTACCGATGTCAGTTTCTGCAGCATGCTGTGTGTCAGGGCATTGTTGCTGGGCGGTGCTGCGATTAGTGGAACGTGTAGCTGCCAATGTCAGTTTGTGCAGCATGCTGTGTGTCAGGGCATTGCTGCTGGGCGGTGCTGCGATTAGTGGAACGTGTAGCTATCAATGTCAGTTTAGTGTGCATGCTGTTGAAACTTTGAACAAGATGAGCATGTACTTATATGGGAGATGATGTCAGCTATACATTATATACATTGTGTCGACTTCAACCGGGCTTTTGTGACGTCGTCACGACCTTTAGTGACGTCAATTGACGACACACTTGTATCTCTTGCAATGGACGCCACAATATTGACGATAAACGCCGATCTTAACCTCGATCTGAAACAGAATGAAAACGTTGCTGACAACCTAGGGAAACATATATTGTATTCATTTACAGCAGACCTGTGAAGATCCGGGCTAGAATAGGTCTTCAGCAACCCATGCTTGCCCTTAGAGGCGTTTATGCTTGTCGTAAGGGCCGACTAACGGTATCGGTAGTCAGACTCGCTAAATCGGTTGATCATTGTCATCGTATCCAAGTTGCGTGGATCGATGCTCATGATGTCAATCACTGGATTGTCTGGTCCAGGTTTGATTATTTACAGTCCGACATCATATATCTGGCCTCATTAATATAGAGGCGTTTAACAACAAACACACATTTGCAACGTGTTTCGTTGCTCATAATAAAGAGGACCGATTTGTCTTGTCCAGATTCGACATAGCTGAAATAGATGAAGCAAAGCCTCACCTGTCTACTTGCTGGGTTCTTCCTCTTCATCCTCCAGGTAACCCCTCTCCCCCATCCACTCATCATTGAGGAACCGCGTCCTGCAACAGGAGACAAAGTCAGTACCTCACTCTGTACAGAGTGATCAATGTGTCTACAAAAACATTTCTTAGAATGACTCCCAACAGTGGCAAAACACCCGCCATTAACTACACCATCAGGCTGTAGTCAGCCTTGTTCTGATTCAAAGACGACACGCAGCTCTATCCACAGGACCATGTAACTAATAATAATAACCATTCTATCCATAGGATCGGGGGTAGAATAGGTCTTCAGCAACCCATGCTTGAGTTAAAAGGCGACTATGCTTGTCGTAAGAGACGACTAACGGGATCGGGTGGTCAGGCTCACAGACTTGGTTGAAGCATTTCATCGATCCCAGTTGCGTGGATGGATGTCCATGATATCAGTCACAGGATTGTCGGATCCAGACTCGATTATTTACAGACCACCGTCATATAACTAGAATATTGCTGAGTGCGGGGTAAAACAACAAACATTCCAACCAAAGGACCACGTAACTAATAATAATAACAAAAAAACTCACAGTCGAGACCGAAGTCTACGAGTTTGTTTCTTAATACTATTAGATACATTGTCCTGTACTCTATCAAGGCACACCACAATCATGTGCAGAATGAGTGAGTGAGTATGGTTTTATGCTTTTAGCAATATTTCATCAATTCTCACCTAAATTGTGAGCATTGAACTTTTGTGGGAAACGAACCCTAACCTGCAGTGTAATGAGCGAACACTTTAACCAGTAGGCTACCCCATCATCCTTCTTGTATAGAGCGGTAATGGTGAACAGAGGCAGTGAAGCCATGAGCGGTATTTCCCCAAACCTAGCCACACATTTCACTCTTGTAAAGTGCTGTCATACATCTCCGATCGCTAAACATGGAAGCCCTGTTCCGACTAATCTGAACACTCACAGACCCAGTCGGGGATCTTATTGTTAAACCTATCATGAATAGTGTACAAGTATTCACCTAGCTACTCCTATGTACGCTCATGTGTCTCAACAGTCTTACGTACGACTGCCAAGTAATGGGGGCACACGTCGCCGCTTCGAGCAGGTGGGAAATGCATCGGTCGCAGGTTCCGTTTTACGTATAACCTATGTTTAGCGTTCGGGGATTTCCGGACAACATGGAACCTGGGTTCCGTATCCCTCCGCTGCGGCCGAACTGCCTCCATCTGCCACAACTTACATGTAGTTCCTGATGGAGTCGACGAAGAAGACGACACACCTCTGGCTCTCCTTCAAGCCGAAGTCCTTTATTGCGTGGATGCCATAGTGCAGAGCTGTACCACTGCTGCCGCCTGGAACCACATTTAGAACTTGTACACCACGTGAACCACATGTATGACTTCTACACCACGTGAACCACATTTATTACTTCTACACCACATGAACAACATTTAGAACTTGTACACCACCTGAACCACATTTAGAACTTGTACACCACATGATCCAAATTTAGAACTTGTACACGAACCACATTTATAACCTGTACATCACGCCAACCACATTTATAGCATGTACACCACATGAACCACATTTATAACGTGTACACCACATGAACCACATTTAGAACTTGTACACGAACCACATTTATAACGTGTACACACCGCCAACCACATTTATAACGTGTACACCACATGAACCACATTTATAACGTGTACACCACCTGAACCACATTTATAACTTGTACACCACATGAACCACAATTATAACGTGTACACCACGCCAACCACATTTATAACTTGAACACTTTGTGAACCATGTAAATAACTTGTACACAACATTAACTGCATTACCAATACAGTCGGAATGTGACTGTGACTAGCGGCCATCGTGGAGGCCTACTGTCAGAATGTGACTGTGACTCGTGACCATCGTTAAAGTATACAGTCAGATTGTGACCAGCGGCAACCGTGAAGGCCTACAGCGAGTTTGTGACTAGCGGCCATCCAGGAGGCCGACAACGAGATTGTGACTGTGACTAGCGGCCATCGTGGAGGTCTACAGCCAGCTTGTGACTGACTAGCGGCCATCGTGGAGGCCTACAACTAGTTTGTGACTGTTACTAGCGGCCATCGTGGAGGCCTACAACTAGTTTGTGACTGTTACTAGCGGCCATCGTGGAGGCCTACAGCGATATTGTGACTGTGACTAGAGGCCATCGTGGAGGCCTACAGCTAGTTTGTGACTGTGACTAGCGGCCATCGTGGAGGCCTACAACGAGATTGTGGCTGTAACTAGGGCCATCGTGGAGGCCTACGGCGAAATTGTGATTGTGACTAGCGGCCATCGTGGAGGCCTACAGCGAGATTTTGACTGTAACTAGCGGTCATCGTTAAGGCATGCAGTCAGATTGTGACTTTGACTCACCTGCAAGAAGTCCCTCCTCTCTGACGACCCTGCAAGCCACCTGGAACGACTCCTTTTCTGCCGCCTTATACCATTTGTCTGCACACTGGGGGATATACACGTTTATATCACCAATACCGTTCACACCTTTAGTTGTATTAACTTTCCGATACTTCACATGTTTTATACGCGCTCAAGACTGATTGGATGTCAATAACATGATGTCACACTGCTGCATTCTTGACAATACAATATGATGTCACATATCATTGATGACTTCTAGACCTGACGATGTTGCGTCATCAACACACAACATCGACTTCAGAGACATAGTTTTGACTTTGTAACGCCTTACTCCAGGTTCTGTCAAATGGCGGCAATTGATAATATTTCCGTTGATCCTCATAATTCAGACCTTATTAACCAATTGTTTTGCAAGCATCAAAAATGTCTTTTGAAGAGTTGATCAAATCTGTAAGTTTCATTCGGCTTTTTTTATAATTGGAGGCTACATCTAGTTTGTGGCTATGACTAGCGGCCATCGTGGAGGCCTACAGCGAGAATGTGACTGTGACTAGTGGCCAACGCGGAGGCCTACAGTGAGATTGTGAATGTGACTCGTGGCCATCGTTAAGGTATACAGTCAGATTGTAACTGTTACTCGTGGAAATCGCCGAGGCCTACAGGGAGATTGTGACTGTGACCGGCTGCAACCGCGAAGGCCTACAGGGAGTTTGTGCCGCCATCTGCCGCCACTTACATGTAGTTCCTGATGGAGTCGACGAAGAAGACGACACACCTCTGGCTCTCCTTCAAGCCGAAGTCCTTCATTGCGTGGATGCCATAGTGCAGAGCTGTACCACTGCTGCCGCCTGGAACTACATTTATAACTTGTACACCACGTGAACCACATTTATAACGTTCACCACGTGAACCACATTCATAACGGGCAAACCACCTGAACCACATTTAAAACTTGTACACCACATGAACCACATTTATAACGTGTACACCATGCCAACCACATTTATAACTTGAACACCTTGTGAACCATGTAAATTACTTGTACACAACATTAACTACATTACCAATACAGTCGGAATGTGGCTGTGACTAGCGGTCATCGTGGAAGCCTACAGTCAGAATGTGACTGTGACTCGTGGCCATCGTTAAAGTATACAGTCAGATTGTGACTGTGACTCGTGGAAATCGCCGAGGCCTACAGCGAGATTTTGACTGTGACTAGCGGCAACCGTGAAGGCCTACAGCGAGTTTGTGACTAGCGGCCATCGTGGAGGCCGACAACGAGATTGTGACTTTGACAAGCGGCCATCGTGGAGGCCTACAGATAGTTTGTGACCGTGACTAGTGGCCATCGTGGAGCCCTACGGCTAAATTGTGGCTATGACTAGCGGCCATCGTGGAGGCCTACAGCGAGATTGTGACTGTGACTAGCGGCCATCGTGGAGGCCTACAGCGAGATTGTGACTGTGACTAGAGGCCATCGTGGAGGCCTACAGCTAGTTTGTGGCTATGACTAGCGGGCATCGTGGAGGCCTACAACGAGATTGTGGCTGTAACTAGGGCCATCGTGGAGGCCTACGGCGAAATTGTGATTGTGACTAGCGGCCATCGTGGAGGCCTACAGCAAGATTTTGACTGTAACTAGGGCCATCGTTCAGGCATGCAGTCAGATTGTGACTTTGACTCACCTACAAGAAGTCCCTCCTCTCTGACGACCCTGCAAGCCACCTGGAACGACTCCTTTTCTGCCGCTTATACCATTTGTCTGCACACTGGGGGATATACACGTATATATCACCAATGCCTATCACACCTTTAGTTGTATTAACTTTCCGATACTTCACATGTATTATACCCACTCAAGACTGATTTTATGTCAATAACATGATGTCACACTGCTGCATTCTTGACAATACAATATGACGTCACATATCATTGATGACTTCTAGACCTGACGATGTTGCGTCATCAACACACAACATCGACTTCAGAGACATAGTTTTGACTTTGTAACGCCTTACTTCAGGTTCTGTCAAATGGTGGCAATTGATAATATTTCCGTTGATCATCATAATTCAGACCTCATTCACCAATTGTTTTGCAAGCATCAAAAATGTCTTTTGAAGAGTTGATCAAATCTGTAAGTTTCATTCATTTTTTTTTATAATTGACAGGGCTACACTTCAATGGATATAGGCCCCTACCGAGGGTGTTTAAATGACCTGTCTGTCACACGCTGTCGGGACGAAATCCTTCCCGATCCCCTCAACCTCGAACTTCTTTCCCTTCTGGTTCAACTCTGCTGGCTCAGCGATCAGCGAACCCTCGGGATCCACCGCTAGTATCTGACAACACTGTAAACCTGTCGCGTGCAAAGGACCACTGCAGCACCTGTTATACATCTCCGCATTCTTCAACGTATAAACATTCTGTGACGTAACACTATTGTGAGAGTAGGTTCTTTACAATGCTGATAAATTAACCATTTATTAACCAGGCTTTCGCAAGGAAATGCACCTTTGCAACTTTTGGAAGTAACGCCCGAATCAGTATAACTTAATGGGACGTACTACTTTCAAGTGAGGCCCGCTGGGAGGTTTTCATTTGAATCGTAAGACCTGCAAGGCGATTTTACAATTGAATTGTAAGACAAAGGTTTTAAAGTTATTTAAGTCGGCACTGAGCCACCGGGCCAGATGTTGAATGTTCGCATGTTCAATCTTCCATGTCATGACTTCAGTCGTGTCCATGCTGCATGTGGTCTTTCTCTCGCGCGCTTTCAACGAATTTCTTTTATACCAGGACGCACTGTATTGTTTCACGGTATCCTGATGTCTCCTTATCCTTTCTGGAATTTCTTGCATTTGGATGGTTTATATCTCCTTCCCAATATCCTTCAGTCCCAGGCTTACATTCGCAGTCAAGACCTCGGTGTCGGTTTTTATACTTTACTTAGCCCTCCACGGCTGCATACCGCATCCCTCAGCTTCAAACAAACACACCTCAGCTTCAAACACACACACCTCAGCTTCAATCCTTCACCCCTCAGCTTCAACCCTGTACCCCTCAGTTTCAAACAGGCACACCTCAGCTTCAAACTGACACTCCTCAGCTTCAAACCCGCACCCCTTAGCTTCAAACCTGCATCCCTCAGCTTCAAACAAACACACCTCAGCTTCAAACACACACACCTCAGCTTCAATCCTGCACCCCAAAGCTTCAACACTGCACCCCTCAGCTTCAACCCTGCACCCCTCAGTTTCAAACAGGCACACCTCAGCTTCAACCCTGCACCCCTCAGTTTCAAACAGGCACACCTCAGCTTCAAACACACACACCTCAGCTTCAATCCTGCACCCCTCAGCTTCAACCCTGCACCCCTCAGTTTCAAACAGGCACACCTCAGCTTCAAACAGACACGCCTCACCTCCAACCCTGCACCCCTCAACTTCAACCCTGCACCCCCAACTTCAAACAGACACACCTCAGCTTCAACCCCGCACCCCTTAGCTTCAAACCTGCACCCCTCAGCTTCAAACACACATACCTGAGCTTCAAACTCACACATCTGATCTTCAAACACACACACTTCAGTTTCAACCCCGCATCCCTCGGCTTCAAACACACAACCTCAGCTATGCAACTCGCACACCTCAGCTTCAACCCCACACTCTTCAGATTCAAACCCTCATCCCTCAGATTCAAACCTGCATCCCCATGCTTCAACTTCTCTCCAAATGTTTTAATTCCACATACTTCTACGTGAATATTAGTCCCCTATTACATTTGTCATATGAGTTCTGATTAAAACAGTCAGATTGTATGTCTTGTTAACCACAAAACCCTCTTCTCTATATGAATACACCAGAAGTGAAAACCAATCTCTCTCAAGACCGCCTCCGTTGGCTAGTGGTAGAGCGTCAGCCCAGAGAGCGGAAGCTCGGGGGGTTCGATATCCGTCTGCGTAATACCAAAATTATTAAAAAGATGGTACTGTTTCTTCTGTTTGCACTTTCTGCACATTCTCCTGGTAGCAGGTCGAGACAGTCCTCAGGCTCTTTAATTGCTCGTGGAATCTCTGGTCCAGATACCACTCATCGCAGTGGTTAGGGCACATCTGACTAAGCAATAGACTTTTCAATTAGTATCCAATCAGTTTTTTCAACCAGGTAATTATTATCCAATCAGCCTGTTCAGGATGTTATTCCTTTCTGTATATCTGGCTTTATTTCCTAGCACCATGTTGTTCTTACTGTATATCTGGCTTTATTTCCTAGCACCATGTTGTTCTTACTGTATATCTGGCTTTATTTCCTAGCACCATGTTGTTCTTACTGTACATCTGGCTTTATTTCCTAGCACCATGTTGTTTTTACTGTATATCTGGCTTATTTCCTAGCACCATGTTGTTTTTACTGTACATCTGGCTTTATTTCCTAGCACCATGTTGTTCTTTCTGTATATCTGGCTATATTTCCTAGCACCATGTTGTTCTTACTGTATATCTGGCTTTATTTCCTAGCACCATGTTGTTCTTACTGTATATCTGGCTTTATTTCCTAGCACCATGTTGTTCTTACTGTATATCTGGCTTTATTTCCTAGTACCATGTTGTTCTTACTGTACATCTGGCTTCATGACCCAGAGCAACGGCATGCCATTGTATATTTACATGGAACATATATTTTTACATAAAAATAGAATAAAGACTTGTAATAAATGTGACAGATTTGGAGTGCCTGAAAGAATACTACATTATTTGTTTTACTGTCCAACTGTCCTTCAATTTTGGGTCAGTTTTTTTATGGATGAAGGTGAATGTTAATGATATGGTATCTGGAAGTTACAGAGATACATTTCGAGTGTAAAGAAGTGTGTCCATTGAAGATACTCAATGAGCTTCTACTTACGGCAAAGAAATGATGCGTATAAATGTAAAATTCTTCATTAAATCTGCACATTTAATAACTATTTTAAGGAGCTAGAGTTTCATATACAAATTATTAACAAACATCAGAAAATGGACCATGTAATAATAGTGCAACGACTTGCCCACGCGTGTTAGAGAATGGGGGGCACTTTTCTGCAGCAGTTTCGAACAGCTTTGTGAAACGGGGCTCTTTGGGGTTGCATGGCGTCTAGTTTTGAGTGAGAGAGTTTGGTTTAACGCTGCATTTGACGTATTTCAGTTGTATCACGACGTTTTATTTTGGGATGGTGATATAAGTGATGGAAACATTAGGCGTATACCACTTTGGTGAACTACGAACATATAGTCTTGGTACTGACAAACCTAGAAACATAATCATGGCAAACGGGAGACTCGAACACCGATTTCTGTTGTGTTTTGTTTAACGCCACATGCAACAATAGTCCAGCTATGTGACGGCGGTTTGTACATAATCGAGTCTGGACCAGAAAATCCGGTGGTTGATTTTATAAACAGCGATTGACGCCGTCGGGAAACAATAACAGACTATCAAATAGTGGCTTGCATGTGCGAAACAAATACTGGCTTGCAGGGATACATGTGCCTGATTACACTAAACATATTGGTCGAATACATGGAGTGAGTGAGAGGCAATGAGAGGGTAGGTCAATTAGCGTCACTCCCGTTAACAGTTACCACCGTAACTAGTGACTGAAAGAATATTGTTACAATGACCAAATAATTCAAAAGCATAACCAAACAATATGTCCTACTGGACAGATTCAACATAAGAAGTGAGATATTGACCGTGTCCGGCAGAGAACGAGTGCGTGAGCATGATTCATCACTACTTCCAGAACTATTTCAGCATAAACTGACACAGCAGCTGAAAGTTGTCTTTACACTTTGTAGGAAGTGATGGCAAGTATCTTTCCCGATATGTTACCTGAACCGTATAAGTTGTTCAAACATGTACTAGACTAGTACAAGCATCCATACAAACACACACACGTGCATGCACGTCGCTATATAAGTGCAATAATCTTCGACGTGACGTTAAACCCCATTTTACTTCCATCTGTATGGGTAGACAACTTCTAAAATTTACCTGTAAATCAGCTATTGAGCCCAACCAACTTTGTTTATACAACACTGAGTTGTCTCGGCGAAATGAGGCAAGGGGTCACACCTTTGCTTTTCAAAAATGTTTGCTTGGCCACATTTATGTACTAAACTAGTACAAATCTAATTAGCAATTTTGGACTAGTGATGCAAATTAATTTTAGAAAAGTGAATTAACATCCAACGGGAAATTGTCATAATTTCACATGGCTATTAGGTGTGGAACATAAATGAAAACAAAGACAAGTATACAAATCAAGTTTATTGAAGTTGAAACAATATTTAAAAGGAATGACTGAAAAAGTTCCAGATGAATAGGAATGGCATCGAAAATATAAAATCAAAATCACATGGTTGCTATATATGCATGCAACAATCTATTTTCTGACAGAGAATGTGCATATAATGGAAGCCAAGATCCTGCATTCCTCTCATTCTACTCAGCAATTGTACATATCGTTATACCGTGGGGATATTAAATGTGTCCAATTTATAAACTCTTTTTGGCTCTGCACCTCAGCCCTCTTTTATTTATCATATAGAAATATAATCACGGTAGTATTTGGCAATACAATACAGCCACCATTCATCCATAAAATCTTTTTTGATGCAACATGCACCAACTAACCCTTAAGTATCAAAATCCATTTTAGTGATTTTCATTTCTTTTATAGTGAACATTGTATTGTGCTATCTAGCTGATGACATTATTTGTCACTGCCTGTTTTCTTTTGCAATTTCTTGAAAACATTTCACACTTCTCTAAGTTATATACCTGACAAATACTTACATGTGTTGCTGTCGAAATTCACAACATTTAGTCAACTTTCAACTTTACGTTGAATAAGACCTTCACATTTCGCGTACCCCATCACCTTACCACTGTACTGAAATGCATGCATATGGTGTAGCGTGATTGGCGATACTACAACATAGATATGGTTTCGTTTCGAATGGCTATCAAGTGGTTAACTATACGATGTAACCAGTCTTTGCCATCCCTAATGTACCAGTGAATCATGAACATCTATTTCCGGACATGACTATAGATAGATCTTTGTTTAGGCGAAAAGAAATACTGTCTTTTCACCAGCGTGACCGTTGCCGCTAGAGATGAAGGCTATACTGGTCAACTGTCTACAGGTGTGATATTGACATGTACCGCTCGTACCACATACGCCGTCAGTTTAAGGTTGGACCGTCCAAGTCAGTGCACCAGCCGGGTGAGTGAAGGGAAGATGAATTAAACAAGATCGCCCATTGCGAAGATCGATGCTCATGATGTCAATCACTATAATGTCTGATCCAGTCTCGATTATTTACAGACCGCCATCAAACAGCTTGGATATTGCTGAGTGCGGTGTTAAACCAAAAAAACCCATCCATCAACGACATAAACACCTCACACCATCAGTAATGAAGTGAGACAAAGGATTAAGGGAGAAGAGCTTGCTCATATACCAAACTGTCCGACATCCATAACCTTCGCTCAGCAATGACACTGGGATAATATATATTATTACCAATTATTTCTAATAACAGTAGCATATCTCTGATAAGGTTTTGGATGTCCTGGTCAATGAAATACTGGTGCGTGACCTGTATTGTTCTGTACATTCACATCAGCTCCAGCTTTCAGTAACATATCAACACACTCTGTAGATCCAAACCCTTCTGCTGCTGTTGCTGCTATTTTATGAAGTGGTGTGTCACCTGTAATGTTCTGTACATTCACAGAAGCTCCAGCCTTAAGTAACGGACCAACAATCACTGTAGATCCATACCATGCTGTTGCTGCTGCGTCATGAAGTGGTGTGTCACCTGTATTGTTTTGTACATTCACATTAGCTCCAGCCTTCAGTAACTCATCAACAATCCCTGTAGATCTCCACCCTGCTATTCCTGCTGCTGCATAAAGTGGTGTGTTACCTGTATTGTTCTGTACATTCACATTAGCTCCAGCCTTCAGTAACAGATCAACACACTCTGTATATCCATTCGATGTTGCTGCATGAAGTGGTGTGTTACCTGTATTGTTCTGTACATTCACATTAGCTCCAGCCTTCAGTAACAGATCAACACACTCTGTATATCCACCCAATTCTGCTGCATAAAGTGGTGTGTTACCTGTATTGTTCTGTACATTCACAGAAGCTCCAGCCCTGAGTAACAGATCAACACACTCTGTATATCCATCCCATGCTGCTGCATAAAGTGGTGTGTCGCCTGTTTCATTCTTAACATTCACGTTAGCTCCTTTCTCCAACAAAAACGAGACAACATTAGGGTCACAAGCACCGTGAAGAGGAGTATCCCCTTTAATTGAAATCATGTCAACTGTTGCACCCTCCTCAAACAACATCTTGATGATACGCAAGTTTTTCAACCTACAAGCAATGCACAAGGCATCACCATCAACCTGTACTCCTCTATCTAAAGGAAAACGCGTCATATGCGTGTTCTGGCTCTTCAGTGCACAACCAAGACCTCTCTGTTTATCTATATCACATCCTTTTTGCAGCAGCAGTTCCAACACCCCAACATGACCATTTTCTATGGCAAGGTATAGAGGGCGTTGGTGATGTGCTCGTGGGTAAAAATACAAAACTGGAGAATAATGCTCATTAACATCAGCGCCCATGTTGATTGCATGTTCAACAGCTGATGTAAGGCCATTTGCACAAAGGTATTGAAAGACTGTTTGATCGTGACGGTCTCTTGCATTCAGGTCAGGGTGAAGGGCCATAATATGATTAACAAACACACTGTCTTTGGTTTCTGCTGCTAACATAAGTGGTGTTTTCTCCTTCCTACCATATCTAGCATCTATCTCAAGCTGATGATATAGTTCACTGATATAGGTCAATACACTACAAGCAGCATTCATGCACACACCAAGTAAAATGTCTCTCAGTTCACTCTGGCTGAATGTTCTGTTTTCTTTCTCCATAATAAATTTGATGAGATGATGTGACTTGCTGCTAGAAATTAATTCACAAAATGACTGTTCTGAAGAGTTATCAGCTAGTTTGAGAATATCAGAAACAGACATGTGACACTGTGTCTTCAGGCAGCCTATTAGCAAGTTAATAAAGTCTGAATTACAACATGCCTGGTGCGATAAGACATGCAACAAATTGCTCCTTGAAATTTCAGTTGCAAATCTTCTTGCTAGATGTTTAGCATAGTTCCAGGAGATGTTTGCAACAAGATCTGTCTCACCAGGAACGTTTTCCCCAGGTCTTGTGGAGGCTTTAAGACGAAGTCGCTGATGGATGAATGACAAACTGCAAAAATCGATGACAAACTTTGATTGTTTTGTGCTGAGAATTAAAGCGACACAGTCATATATAGAGGGATGGTTAAACATGTATGTGTCATCTTCCTTCTTGAGGTAGGATCCAGCCAAATCATCAGCAGCTGTTATGTATTTGTATCCATGGGCATCCTCCTCTTCCAACTCTTGTCCACTAATCTTTCCATCCCTTTTAATCATAGCCTTGAACAGGGACACCTTTGTCTCATCTTTAAGGAATTTATCTAGGGTCTGTTTGAGGAATGCTAGAGGCGCTTGAAAAAACTTATCTACTGGAAGCTGAGTCTGATCCTTTTCATATGTTGTGACAAACATTTTACACACGTGGGGAAAGCCGTGTGGACAGTCAGATTGACATATCCGAGACACGGTTGACTCATCAAGGTCTATGTTTTTAGTTTTGGCATGAACATGCCATATCTTCTTTCGTTCATTAGAGTCTCTCTGTGAGGAAACTTCCACTACATACAGGGGACTAGATATGTAATCTGCCATCCTTCCCAAGTCTGCCAGTGAGGATTTCAGCACATAGTCACGGCCTACGAGGATAATGATCGTTTTGCCTTTGTTTGGAGCTGTTCTCTTTAGAATTGTTTGCTCATCCTTTGTTCTCTCTCTTTTACTTTTAGTGGACTTATCATTGGAGTCCTGTTCAGTGGTCTTGTCTGGATCTCTCATATCCACAAAAGGTCGTAGACTTGGTCTCCACTTAGCCCATTCTGCTACATCAAATTCTAGATCACCGAATATGTCATCTAACATAATGACAGGGTTTGTGCTGGCCGTTATGACCTCATTGAACTCTTCTGGTGACACCACCTGATATACTTGTCTCCCCTGAGTGTGCTGATCTTTGAGGGCCATGTAGGCTATTGTAGACTTCCCCTCTCCTGGTCTTCCTTTAATTGTCACCCATGTTGCTCCTCTGTCCAGCTTCTCCGTCACTTTCTGGAGGGCTTCTGTCTCCACCATGTCTTTAGTCATTGACTGAATCCTAGATTCCGTTCTTTCTGTGAAAACAAGGCACATTTGATATATATATATATAAAACTATATAACAATATGTGTAAAAGTGTACAGTCTGCCATATTTTAATTTGACCTCAATTAAAGGAATGAAGTGTGGTCATTATCAATCACATACAGTTTGACTCTGAGATCCCTGATGTTGAAATGTGTCAGTGAGTGAGTCAGTTAACATATCACATAATTTCACCGAAAGGTTAGAAAATCCCAAATACATCCCGTGAATGTTGAATAGTGTCGATATACAATCAATAGTTTACACAAAATCTCTTAAATCGATTTTGACACCTTAAAATTGTTAAAATTGAAACACTGCTTTTCACAGCATTTCTCTATTTTTAGATATTGGTCTGCAAGTTATTTGTTCTGAACCAGAGAGCAGACAATTTAAGAAACGTTTGAATAATGCTTGCTCTGATTGTGGATCAGAACAGAATATTCATATGAACGAAGCAGCCAGAATACCAAAGTATGGAATTAAAGTGACAAAACCGTTTTCATAATCATCAGAAACAGTCCACTGAATGATTCTGTCCATATATCATAAGCACCGGTTTATGAATCACTATCAAATAGTAATGATACCAGGTCCTTGCAAGTAGGTGAGGGTATGTATCCTGCTTGACATAAAGATACATTTTACTATTGAAAGTTGAAGTCATTCCCCTTGTCATACAGCCTTGTGGAGAGGTGTTGTTTCACTCAGCATCTTCATTCATAGATCTAAATACGAAAAAGAGCCCAGACGGTCTGACTGGTCTCCCTTATTTATAGTTCAGGTGGCTAAATCAGTGAAAGGGTCATTGACTGATATCCGATCACTAATATACCTGAAGGCTGAGGTAAACGTCTTGGTCAAATTACTGAGTTTTAACTTTGCAAATCTGAGCAGAAATTATGATTCATATATATTTGTTGATATTATCTTTCGGGTGCTTAGGAGTTGCCATAGATGTTGTATCAAATTCTACTGGGTATGTTGTATCACTAGATACAACCTTACATTTGATCTGAGTGATTTAGACGAACAAATCCTATGGACACACTACAATTTGTATATGGTCCTGTAGGGAGTTAACATAATGTGAAATGTAACAGAGAGCAGGAAATAATACTTCAGTGGCTTTGCTAGGTTCATCACAAAACTCGATGTAAATTATAGTCATGAACACTTGAACTGTGTACACGAGGTGACAGTTGGAACAAATATGAAGATTATTACAGTGAGCATTTACTACAAAATATATATGCCTCAGCTAAACGATCATTGTGAGAACAAGCACAGAGATCTAGATAACTCACTCCTGATCTTCCGTGCTGCAACAGTCAATGGCTTCTCCTCTTCCTCTGGGTTGGTCTGAGGTGTACCAACGTTCTGCGTGCCGCCAATGTTCAGATTCCTGGCGCCCTTGACTGTCACATCTCCAAACTCCTGCCGTACTTGGAAAAGGTTGTACTGGGCGACTGTAACAGGAACCAATTGAGCAGAGCTAGACCTTGTATGGTGGTTGTATAGGGTTAATGACATCCCTTAAAAACTTGAAGACAATACTTCCATAGCCTATTCGCCTAAAAAAGCAAAGCAATTTTTTATCACAATTTCTTACCTCAAAGGATGTAGGCCAAGATCAAAACACAATTTTATTTTGTATGTGTGACTTCATGTTTACACTGACAACCATACAACAACCAGCTATATCGTGGAATAAAATAGTTCCTCAAAAAGAGAGGTGACATAAGCGTATGGACGCAAAACTTGCGCTTTAGAAATACTTACGCAACACATGTGTTCGAATCATATCCTCATTAGATGAGAAAGGTCTGTAAAGAACTACCTCAGTAAGTCAGTCAAGTCAAGTCAAAGTCAAAGATGTTTATTGTATCAAAGGCCATCGGCCCATATACAAGTTCAGATAAATACAGTGGGTGAGAATTTACAGATTGGGAGATACAACAAAAATTATATAAATATAACATTCATTTAACAATCGGGGATAATCATGAGGACTTTCTAGGGTGAGGTATTTAAAATAATGAATTTCCACCCAACATGTTATTTCGTAGTTCCATCCCATGTTTTACAAATAAAGACAGTTTAAACATTACATCGGCATCATTCGATGACAAAATAAAAACAAAAGCTATTCTACTCGTCTTAGATAAGAAACATTCTGGTATATATTTAGTACGTAATTCTGCATAATAAGGACATTCAAAGGTAAAATGTATTTCGTCTTCTATTGCAGAGTTACAGAATGGACAAATTCTTTGTATTCTTTCAAGTTATATATTCCGTCCATAGTTAATCATAAGTTTTGACAAGCCAAGTCTTTATTTAATATATCCATTTCTTAGGTGACTATTTGTTAAAACTGATAGATATTTTTCTGGCTCTAATAGAGTCTTAAATGTTCTGTACAAATCATAACGTGAACTATTTTCCAAGTTGCATTGCCACCCTTGATAGAACATATTTATTGCTATTTTACGAAAATCATTTAGAAATAAATGTTGATCACCAACAGATTGGTTAAGCCATATATACCCATATCCATGTGAGAATAATAGTGTCCTAATATGCGATACCCATGTAACCTTACCGATACTATCTAAATGAAAGAGCATGTTATAAGCTTTTTTCGGAAGCCGATGTTCTGGCATACGGATGATATTAAACCAATATTTTAAACACTTTATTTGTGAATTAATGTAAAGTGGGTATCTTCCACATTCTCCATATATCATATTATTTGGTGTTGCTATTCCAACGCGAAGAAACTTTTTACATGCCAGTAGGTGAATTCTTTCTAAACATTCATATCTTCGGTAACCCCACACTTCAGATCCATACAATGAAATTGGCTGTATTTGAGTATCAAATAATTGAAAAATACTTTTGGAGTAATAACTCCAAGTTTATGTGAAACAGACATTATATTAAGTAAAGCTCGTTTCCCTCGCAGTGATAAGTCAGATACACATTTGTTCATATTTAGTGTTGAATTAAACATTATGCCGAGATACTTATAACCATTAACTACATTAATTTGTTGTCCATTTAAGTACCATCTTTCCCCAAAATTTAAAGGACCCCCTTTTCTGAATACTATAATTTCTGTCTTATCTAAATTTACAGATAAATTCCATTCCTTAGTATATTTATCTAATACATTCAACTGATTCTGTAGACCAATAACAGTGTCAGATAGTAAAATAACATCATCGGCAAAAAGGAGCATAAGAAGTTAAAGGATGTCAGGATACATCTTTTTACCATGCTTGCCGTTACTTGAGATTTCATAATATAATTCGCTTATGAAAAACGAAAATAACAGAGGACTCAGTATACATCCCTGACGTAAACCAGATGGGCAATCGATAAAATCAGTAACACCATAATCACTACGTACACATGACTTGATATTTGAATACATTGATTGTAGTATATTAAACATCTTCCCTTGTTGTCCAGCTTTTCTTAAACAACACCATAATTTATAACGATCAACTGTATCAAATGCCTTTTTAAAATCAATAAAAGCAACGTAAACCTTGTGTTTACGACGTGTTAGACATTTTTGAATTGCAGCATATAATGTAAAAATATGATCTATGGTTGAATAATTTTTTCTAAAACCAGCTTGAACTTCCGGTATCTTATCTCTCATATTCGCCCAGTTAGTAAGCCTGTTATTCAAAACAGAGGTAAAAATTTTCCCCAGAACACTCATTAATGAGATCCCCCTGTAGTTGTCAGGATTTCTCGGATCGCCTTTTTTATGTAGAGGGACTATTTCTGAACAAGACCAACTGTTTGGAAATATTTGATTATCAAAGAGTTTGTTGAAACATTTATGAAGAAATGGCATAATATCTAATTGGGAACATTTAAGCATTTCTATCAGCACTTGATCGGGCCCGGCAGATTTTCCTTTTTTTAACTTATTTATTGATGATGTAATTTCATGTTCAGTTATCGTAGAATTTAGTATGAATGCATCAATATCTGTAAACTGATTAGAACTGAGTTCATTTTTATCATCTAAGTGAGGAGAAAAAACATTGTCATTTGCAAAAACCTCTCTAAAATGGCACAGCCATTCTGCTTTCGTTATATGATTCTTCTGTCTGGGTTTGTTTTGTAATGATCTTATCTGTTTCCAAAAGCTAGATTGACTATTTATGCTTCTATGCAATCTTTCAACTGATTTCTTACGTGAAATGGATTTAAATTTTCTGCAACAAAATTTATAATGATTTCTTTGTCTACAGTACACAATTCTGTTACCGTCTGTTTTTTGTGTTCTAAATCTCCTAAGTGCCCTACGTGTTTCTCGTTTCGCTTGTCTACATTCTAGACTTAGTGGTTTGTGATTGGCAAATTGTGGATTATGTCGTATTGTCTTTTTCATGCAGCTAGCAGAGTCTAATACAATGTCGACAAAGTGGCTAATTGCGTTTTCAATAGCATTATCAATTTCTTTAAGGACCATTTCTTTGTTTTCAGTAAAATTATATCTCAGGTTATCAAGAAACAAACTGGAGTAATGATCATTCCATACAATTTTCTCTCATGCTTGTGGATCCATACATGAATCATTGTTGCACCTCTTACCCATATTTGGAAATCTACACATCAATTCTAATGGAAAGTGATCAGAATCAGATCGATCACCGACAGTGAACATATTGATAAACTGAAAAAAATCTGGTGAACTTATAAAATAATCGTTCACACTAGATCCATGTTGGCTACAATAAGTAAATTACCCATTAGTATCACCATATACACGTCCATTTACGATGTAAAGTTTAAAAACATAGCATAAATCCAACAAAATTTGACCAAATCTATTTACAACTGTATCCTGTGACAGCGCGTCGTAATACAGTTACATCAAGCACAAGACGTCAAAATGGCCGACACGATAAACGTGACGGGAGAGATTTCCGATGTTAATGAACATGTGGTGGTTACATGTGTTAGTCAGCATTGATCAACTGGCCGATCATTGAAAGGTGAATAAAGATGCGTCAAACAGACACTACGGTAAATTCGTAGATTGCTGGAGACGGTCACTGTCAGCCTAGACACGGATCGAGTCTATACTACGATAGTTTGGATGTGCATTTCTTCATTTGTTCATTAGGATGAGCCATAGTATAGCGAGGATATTCGTTGACAGGCATGCAGTCACGATCTCTGACGTATCTCAATGTATCCTGAAATGCTGGGACCAAGATGAAGGTTCTAAATGATCAAAAGGAACACTTACGTATGTTTTCGTGCTAGGGGATTCCCAGGGGTTTCCCCAGGAATGTGGAAGTAGTCCATCAGTGTTTAAATCATTTCAAGAACATGGTCAAAACGTATGAACGTCAAATTGTGTCGTTCATACACTTATGAACGTCAATTTCGCGGTCGGGTGACCGACCTCTCGTCAAACTGAAAAGCTGTATATCATGTAAACTTCAAATTAAGAAATTATTTGAAAATACTCTGTTGAAGGTATTCGATATTTGAACAATAAGTCATGTCCCTGTTTATCAGCACTCACCTACAGGAGAATCACCAGTCACTGGTGCCACAGGTAGACCGGACGACTGTATCTCTGATACAACAGATCCTGGTATTCTGGGTAGAAGAGCTGATGTGGACGCTGGTGTCAGGGCTGCTGTTGTCGGGGCCTGTAGACTGGTCGTGTGAGGAACTACACAAGATGTAGTTGTGGGCAGCTGTTGCTGACTTGTTGTCGTATCAACATCATCAACGGAAGCTGGTTGGAGTTGTGACACCTGCTGTGGTGCTGACGCTATTTCTCCCTGTGGTTGTTGACAACATCTCACAATGTGTTGTGCTAGTGCCGTGGTATCTACGAAGGAACAAGCAGGTCATAGTTTGATGTCCAGCTATTTAAAAAATATATCCTAAGAATAAATTATCTCCGATTCAATTTGAAAAAATATATATATGCCCAATGCTGTTGAAAAAGGCATTGTCTGCCATAAAAATTACATTGTTGCAAGGTGTTTTTTAAAGGAAACATATTTAGACTCATTTAAAATAATCTGGTTTTGCAGCTGCAGCTCCATACAAAATGTCAAAAAAGTTTATTATTATCCTAGCTGTGGAGTTGTAGTGAGTTAAATATTAGGACAAAAGATCGTGCCGTTCCGGTTCCACACGATTCTGACGAAACTCATATTCACACTATGGTAAGTACTTGAAAATGCTAATGCAGTAGTAAATACACTGGACACTTTTTGACACAAAGTGTAGTAACGGGACTATCTGGCAGATACACCTCACTATGGTTGCCCTTCAGGTGCGATTGGTGATGTGTTTCTCTTTGGAAAACACATGTTTATTTCAGTAACTGAATAGGATTCCAATATATCTTATCTATCTTATTAATTTAAAAATATTTTCCCTTCCATATCTTTCAATTCCAAAGGGCACACCTAAATGTGGTTAACAGCCACTGACATGGTGGGGTTTTAAAACAACATCTTCACTTCACTGTAAAGAGGAATGTCATGAACGTCCCGCAAATTATGCATTTGTGTATTATAAATGAGATGTTTTATAGTGAAATTACTTCATACATGCCTTTATTTACAAGTTGGTATGACTCTTGTTGAACAGTCTGGAATTTGACCGCTACAGCACCTGATCCAAGCTGTGACATGTCTTCTATACCTTCCCCATCTTCCTCATCTGTGATGTCATCAAACAAGCATTCGTCAGCACTCTCTTCATCAACATCTTTATTTTCTGCATCCTCCGTAGTACTGCCTGCTCCTTCAGTTGTTCCTTGAGGGTTGTCCGTGGGAATACCTGCATGTTCCACGTTTTCCCCGTCTGATGACGTGTCCCCGTCATTGTGCTTCCTCCTGCACTTTGCTGGTGTACATACCCCACCCTCTGTGTCACTATCATCAACATCTGCATCCTCAGTAGTACTGCCTGCTCCTTCAGTTGTTCCTTGAGGGTTGTCAGTGGGAATACCTGCAAGGTCCATGTTTTCCCCGTCTGATGACTTGTCCCCGTCATTGTGCTTCCTCCTGCACTTTGCTGGTGTACATCCTCGACACTTTTTGTCCATTTCATCCATCTGTCCTTGATCGTTCTGATTCAGGCTTTGAACCTTCTTCACTGTTTCTTGTTATTCATCAATGTCTGTAATCTAAGTTGGCACCTAACTCATCATCATCCTGAAAGACAAAAGTCCTAACGTATGCAATGTCCGCATGGGGGACAGGCTTACATTTGGTATAAATGAATCAAGTATGAGAATTCTCTGCCACAGCACTGTAGCTCACCTGGATATTTTATCAATAGTGCTAGCTTTCAGTATGTGACAGAGTGTGACATATGTAGTTATAAAGGTTGTTTTTTTTCATCAAAAGTCATATTCCCCCGTCTAGAAAAAAACCCAGTATTTTCACTGGTGTGAAAATAGAAAAAAAAAGTATTTTCATTGCCCTGGGATGACGAAACAAGTTTCATCCATAGTTACGGCCCTTGAAAGTTGTCTCCCTTGGCTCATCTGCCAGTTCAAAACCAGAACAAAACAAGATGAGTAAACAACCTTTCAATTTGTGGTATTGACTATTTGCTTATCATCTTGACTTGATTACTACTATTGACTACTTGATGTCATACACAACTTTCATTTTACAAAACAATATCACCTGCTGTCTGTAATGTTCTTGTTTGACTATAGTACCACAAACCTGTTACAAAGCGGGTCACTGATTTTTTTGCCATGATTGTCACTTTGTTGTTTTTATGTATACGTGCACTTTCCCACTGGTGCACCACAAATATAGCTTTAATGTATGGTATTCAAACTTCACTGGATGAGTACATGGTATTTGAAGAAATGCATGAAATAGTCTCTATATCGACAAAACAAACCTGAAGATACATTTTAGCCCCATGGTAAAAGTACCATATTTCATTACAGTTTTAGTAAATAATAATAACATAGCGATACAATATTTATGCCCAAAACATATATATATATATATATATATATATATATATATATATATATATATATATATATATATATAATTCCAAACCACCGTCGTGACCCCTATGTATTCACAAAACTATGTTATTGTAGAAACTAAAAGTGATCTCACATTCTTAGTTATAATATTGTTTCATGTGGCCTATGGATTGTCAGTTTTATGCAAATATATATATGTACAAAAGGATTGTTTATTCTGAAATATTGAAACTACACATGAGGAACAAATGTCAGGCCAAGGTTTTTTTTAATGATCATATCAATGAAGAAAGGAAATGTCATGTTAAAACAAATTTCCCAAATTTAACAACACACTCTACATGAAAAAATCGCGACAGTGGATAGTGAAATAAGCATTGATCATAACTTTATAGGTTTGTTGGTCAATTTTATGGGCGCCAATTCCCTACTCGCAAATACTGGTGGAGTAACGTCAATGCACTGCAACAATGTCCTCTTGTTGAAATATGGAATTGATTTGGCGTTTTGACGTAATTCAGACTGGTCCGTTTTGACATGAATCCACTACAAGCCCTAAGGCAAAAGATATATAAAACATTCTACAACATTTTCCTACTTGCTACATATGGTGCACTGTCAACGGAAATGTCCTACAAAGGACAAAAGCCATATGAATAATAATAGAGACCATGAAAGAAATATTTATTTTATGGTCTCTTCAATGAGCAATAATTATTGCATGATTTGTTGGTTGGTTATGCAAACGTTGGTGGGTGTATAGTGCACTGCATTTATGTCATCTTGTTCAAATATATAAAAGGTGATATCACGTCCAACATTAATTTAAAGAAGATGATTTTGCATGTTCAGTGCAAACGGACGGAGGACGGATGGCCGCTTATGAGTTGATAATAGAAATGGGGCGTTTTGAGTCAAATCGGTCCCATTTTACTTGTATCCACGAAGTGTGAGAACGCCGACAGAAACATGTAAAAAATTGCAAAAATAAATCTGCTTGCTGCGATCTTTTTGAATGGAAAGAAATCTATCCTTGATATCCATTTTCTGTTGAATTTTCTGTAACAAACGGAATCTAAGAAACATACTAATGTACAGTTATATATACAACAATATGTACTTCTACTGCCAGACTGCTACCAGACTAGTTTTGTTATTCATCCACACCGACTTCCATTTATTAGTATACACACTGTCCTATTCGTTCTCAAATTCAGCCCAACATTAAATAATCATAGTGATGGTTGCAGACAAATCATAAACCCGTCGACAATTACTTACTGTGCTGTGTCATTGAGAAGCGTGTGGACAACCCCACATTCAAGACAAGCTTCAATGCAGTTGGAAAAGCTGTGCTCATTATAGCTGTGTTTACGCCCCTGATACTTACTTACTGTGTCGTGTCATTGAGAACCGTGTGGACAACCCCACATTCAAGACAAGCTTCAATGCAGTTGGAAAAACCTGTGCTCATTAAACGCTCCTGAATCCACGGTCCTCACAACGGTGCCTCACCAATGGTGCTCTCCTCTAACAGTCGGAGTAAGCTCCTTCATAGCGCTAAGATAGACTGGGTCGCGGATTTTCCGCTTGATGTCGCTGCTCTCCCTTACAAGATATCCGATATCACCGACTATTAAACATCGTCTGCTGAAACAATATAGATGCTGACAAAACCATTGGTCGTGTCATGTGAGCTTTCCAAAAGTTTAATATTTGCAGTGATTATGGTGGGTATTTTGACCAACATAGCGAGTATGTGATGTCAATGGGTTTTTTGTACTAAATTCGTGCATATGTTGACATGGCGGTGTCTTTCTTGTAAATGGAACATGATGAGTCTCTTTTGAATTTACCTTGTTAGCAGATCACACTGAAGTTCCTATAAATGAAAATTTAACTTTCTGAGAAGTCCTGCATGAATTCTCCATGAAGCCAACCATAACATGCGTGTAACATTACATGTGCACATATATTCATACGAGGTATGGTTGAACAGTTTTAAACTTTCAACTTTGAGCCATAACAACATAGTACATTGAACATTGCGTGAGTAGGTAATTGCAGTTGGATTTTGTTTTTGAGGCCGTTTGTATTTTAGTGGCAGCCAGTTGAACGTGATAGGGGGCCGACTTGCAAATACTGTTGTGCGACAGCGTTGGTTCGGAGAGCTTCCTCACCCTCCATACTCGCCAGACCTGGCACCAAGTGATTTCAACCTGTTTCCTAACTAAACAAAACACCTATGTTGAAAGCACTATTGCGACAACGATGACCTCAAAGCTGCCGTGAATGGGTTTTCAGGGTGGCTTCAGAAAACTTCGTATTGACTTGAATTGAAAAGCTTCACTATCGATATGAGAAATGTATTGAAAAGCAGAGAGATTACGTTGAAAAATAAATTAAAAAGACTCATTCACAATTATTCATACTCAAAGATAACCCAAAAGGGAAAACGTGAGTATCGTCACGCACAGACACAGATGTTCATTAAGATATGTTGTCATGTGAGATACTAGTATACAACTACAATTTGAATTGTTTGGTGTTGTCACATCACAACATGTAAATAGAAGTGTTAGAAACAAATAATCAATGTTGAAATCAAATTGTCATGGTTACACTTTCATATGCTATTATGAATCTTTTGAATAGCAAATAGAAGGGGCAAAGTTGCAAACATGCTATATTTCAAAGAGTGAAAATTCATAAGAACTTCGATGTGTTCTCCTTTGTTAACACAAGTAATGCTGGTGTCATCGCCGGGCATGAGATACGTCCTGACTGAAAAGCAAATCGGCTCACGATCCGAATACCTTCTGCGTTTCAAAAGACAGCGTTGTAATGATTG